ACTGTTTCTCATTTCTTTTACAAATGAGATTAAGCCACAAACACAGGGTAAATATCTGATGAGAGGTGACGTTAACTTGTGTGTTGTTAAAAAATCGAATGAATAAATCCTTCCAATTCCACTCCTTGGTTGCCATGGTGGAGACTCGGGCGGACGGAGTCGGACAGGGAAGCAGCAGAGGGCAGTTCACAGTCGTGTGATTGGATGTGAAGAGATTTACAGTGACAAGAAAGAACAAAGATGAGAGACGGAGAGAAAGAAATCATTGTCAGTCGTTTTGATGTGAACATAGATATCACAGAACAGAAAGATGAGGAGGGGAAGAGGGATGACAGAGAGAAGAGCTCATTGTTCTAGTCTCTATTTTATATATATATATATATATATATATATAAATCACTTTTTCTGCACTGTCTTCCAATCGCCTGTTTCTTCCCGAGTCCCTCAGGGTCCAGAAGAAATGTTGTCTCTTCCCTCAGCTTTTTTCTCTAGTACAGTTTTAGCACAATTCTTGTATTTTTTTTTCTCAACATCATAATTCTGTGACAATAGCCCCCAGGGGAGCAACAAGCTGGTCGCCCCGAAGTCTGGAGTAAAGGGAAAACACAGAGGAGAAAACAGTGGGATACGGGGAGTGTGAGAGATGGATGCTGTGTGATGATGGTCAGGGACAATGTGCTGCAGTACAGTGTGGACAAAGGCTTCCCTCCGTCACAGGGCGTCCATTGTGCTGAACTGTGTTTGCCCTGTAAGACCAACTCAGGGATAAAGGGGTCATGGTTGTTGACGATAACGGGAGAAGATGTGAAAGAATGTGAGGGAGTGAGAAGAGTTGCTGTTTGTGTTGCTGTGTATGTGTGGATGTACGTGAAGGGGCTGCTGGATGAAGGGGGGGTGGTGGCTGTGGAGACTGTCCTGAAAGTGATCAAAATTATGGCTCAGTCATTATTGGTGTGTTAGAACTAATGCCAATCACAGACATAACAAAGTAGCAATACAATTGAAAAACAAGGGTTAAACCAGTGGTTCCCAAACATTATTTCTTTTTATTTCTTCAAAACTAAAATTCCTACAAACTAATATTCTCACCAGAAAAACAGAAATCAAATTACTAAGAAGCATTTTCACCATTGAGGCACACATACAAAAATACATACTAAAAATTTAAATTTGACCTACCATGACCACCCACTGCATATCTAAGAGGTCCATGCCCCCCACGTTGGGAACCACTGGATTAAACTGAACATACTTTGAGACTGGATCAGACTTTTAAAATGCACATAGTACATCTTTTTTTTTTTTTTAAGTAACACACCTCGAGAATACAGATTGTACTTCCTGTTGTATGTAGGTAAGATTTTGAACAACTGTTACTTCATATTGCCTGAATGTGTGTGAGAATTCCAAACCTTTCAAGGCCCTCTGTCTGAAGTCCTTTTTTTCTAAGGAGGTGATGGAAATAAACGGCGTCATTTCCACAGTCACATGTCAGCAACAATAGGCTCAGTGTGCGTCTGTGCTGCCCCTGTTGTGTGAAGGGAGTGGGTGAGAATCAAAAGGGCTGCTTGGTTCCTTGTCACAATATCTACAGTACACAGACGTCGGTGCAACAGACGCACACACGGAGACACACACCAACACATGGACGCAGACATAACGGAAAAAAGGAGAGTTTGATTCATCAATCTCCCCCTGGTGGTCTTCATTACTGATTCTGTGTGTGTTTCGGTGTGTGTGAAATGTGCCCATTTGTACGTCATTGTCAATGAATTAAAGGAGGAGGTGTGACCCGGGTCAGTGTGGGAGGAGAGTGACACATTGTGGCCCAGTGCCACATATTTTTCTCTCGCCGTTTTACGTCTCCATCTCTTCCACTCAGCCTGATGTCACTTTTCTTTTGCATTTGCTTTATTTCAAGCGTCTTCTTTTCTTTTTAACTCTCCTTGTTTCCTCAGCAGTAGCGCTGTTCCACTCAGGATTTTTTACTCCCACTGAGACTCCACATGGCCAAATTCTATTCCATCAGCTGGAAGCCAATCCAAAGAAGTGCCTGGAGCGTACAAGAGCTGCCAGCAAACGCACAAAGAGTTTGCCGGTGAAATGCTGGTTGTATGGCTCCTGTTTCCCCTGGGAGGAGAAAAGTTCTCTAAACATTTTTGTCCTTCAACTACAAAAAGACTGATTCAAATCCTGGAAATTTTGAAAATATTGGCTTTACTTTCTTGAAAAGTAAAGACTAAAAAACAGTCTATTTGTCTTTGTTTCATCAATCTGAAAGGAAAGAGCCATGTATAATAACCATATCATTTTTGACAGTCCAAAATTAAAGTGCACTTTTCTATTGGGGTTGAAGTTTGACTGATGAAAATAGGTGTAGTGTTTTGGCACAGTGGTTTTCAACGTTGGAACCGCCAGATGGCGCTATTTCGGGCTCTCAGAAAATTGGAGGAACTAACTACGTAAACTGAAGAAAAATTCCATTGAGAACCTGATAACGTATATTTGTATATCTGTACAAACCACTGTTTGAGTTGCTGCCACCTAGTGACTGGAGGCTTGTTATCATTCAAGTATAACAGCAGTGGTACACTAATGTTAAGCGTGCCATATTCCACTGGAAGCCGGAGCGTGAGGGGCTTCCTGGCACCTCACCGCACCCCCGTAGGGGGTCCGCCCCACTATTTGAGAACTACTGGTATACAGAGATTTCGAACTTTTCTGGAAATGCGGTTTGCGTTATCATTTCACTATAACAACAAATACCAACCATGTGAAGTGTCAGCGAAATAATACTTTAACTTAAATTCTCTAACCTCTCAGTGTCACATCAGAGTTTCACTCCCCCTCCCGTACAGTACTCCTGTACAGTACTTCTGTACAGCGCTCCTGTACAGTACTCTTCAGTACTCTCCAGTGTTGCGTCTAACCTGATGACTCCACGAGGCAGATGTGAACGTAAATGTTCCCACACAAATTACCGAGCTCTTACTGTCACTTTGGTTTGACTCCACCGAGCGTGAAGTGTTTCACCCACATCCAAACTGCAGGGCGTGGAGCAGATGTTGTTTCCCACAGTAGTAAACAGATGTAACCGAGCGTGGTCGCACTTGTAAATCTCTACGCCGCAAACGGGGCCGCTCCATACAACACTCACATAGTGATGCTAATGTGACTACTGTACCTTTAGACTCTCATTAAACCCGTGGATGTGTGAAGACATATGGGCTGCCCAGATGGTCCCTCTGTCTTAACTCTTCAAGGTGAAAGTTGTTTTTTCATCACTTGAGTGGCCAAGGAAGCCAAAGTACATGTATTTAGTGAGGATTATTTTATTCTCTCTGCTCGTAGTTAAAATATTCAGTTGATATTCTAAGACAAGGTTTTTGACCTTCGACTCTGTCTAAATATTCCATCATGTGTGGGTCACCAAGGTTTTTGACCTTCGACTCTGTCTAAACCCATATTCCATCATGTGTGGGTCACATACCGTACGGGCAGGGTGTGCAGTCTACCAGAAACAATGGACACATTTTTGTTGAAATTGTGAAGTGTTGATTTCTTAAAATCAATTCTTTCCTTTTTCTTTCTTTTCTGTCCCACAATGCATCTTCAAGACCTGGCTCTGGATTAGTCTCTCGATACTCTCCAGACCAGAGGTGGGCAACGTTTTTGGCTCACGTGCCAAAATGAGGTTGAAAATATACTGAGCCAATTCAGTATTGGTTGTTTATACAGTGCTGGGTGATGTCATTTCAATAAAATATGGCACGTTTGATGTCTGCTACCAATCAGTGGCGTCAGTAGAAATTACAGTCAGTTTTTTTGTAATGCATAAAACAGAGGGATTGACGTCAGTCTTTACCATAGACTGTACCAGTGTTCAGTGGACCAGATCAGAAAACCAAGTGGGCCGTATCTGGCCCACGGGCCATAGTTTGCCCATATCTGCTCTAGTTGGCCCCTAGATTATCATCAAGATAATCTCTGGATTATAATCTCAACCAAAGGTGCCCACACTGTGGCTAAGGATCTGATGACGAGTCTAAAATGATCTACGATTAAAACTATAAATATACATTTACTCATGAATGACCTATGACCCACACAGGTGAATTATTTCCACTTGCTTTTACTCGAATCACTCAGCCATGTTCATGTTTAAAAAAATTAAAAAATAACTCAAAAACTACAGCACTCACTCACGTCCAGAACAGTCGTGTAAATTAAAATTTCGCCCCAGTTTATGCAAACACATGGAGCGCCCGTGTGTTAGTGCATGACAAATAGAATTCCCTACTCATTATGTGTGTGTGTGTATATATATGTGCATTTGCCTGTGCAGGTGTGAGTGAAAAGAAAGCGCAGGCTAACGGAGCAGATGAAAGTAAAAGGTCACTAGCTCTTCATTTACAGTGTTCTTATTTTATTACATTTACTCGCACTATATTTACTCATACCAACGGTGTGTGTGTTTAGGTGTGTGTGTGTGTGTACTCATTTCCATTATCTAATGGGTACCATTTCTGGAATTACCATTGTATGCGGCGCTGTACAAGCGTTCATGCTGTTAATATAAACATGAAATGTTTCTTCCATTTTAAACGGCCATTGTAGATGTACAGACGGTGATGAGTTCATCTGCATTTTGTCCCTTTTCTATGTCTAGTTGCGTCGGCAGTTACCTGCCATGATGTAAACAGACAAAAAAGTGACTATTGTAGATGAGAATGTATCTGTAGAGTTGGTAGTTTTATTGTATTTTGATTCAAATAACAAATCAACCAGGAATTTATTGTAAACTTTTAGGGGTGTGCAGCCCCACCTACTGCTCGGCACAACTTACTTATTTACAGTCGGAGTTTTTCAATTAAAAGGAAATGGTCATAAGAAAACTATGTGTTTGAAGACAATGTTTTGATATATTTAATAAGTACTTTTTATATTTATAGCTGTCATGGGAAGGCACTTTATAGTGCTAAATATATACATATTTGCCTCTGGGCCAAAGCGCCACCGTATATACATTGTGTATATATATAATAATGTCAATAATATATTTCTATATGATTGTTGTTTTCACAAAAATCCGTTTGTTTGTGGTTTTTGCAGGGTTGAGTTCTTGCTACTTAACCTGTGTGACTGGACGTCTGAACTACATCAAGCACCCCCTGTAGTAAAGAAGTGGTAACTACATGCGGTATGTATCCAGACGTACAAACAGAATTCTTCCTTTAAAGTAAATGGTTGAAGGAAATTGGACTAGTGTTGGGGCTTTAAATGACAGGTAATGGCTTTAGATATGGTTCAGGTTGGACGCTAACAGTAAATGGAAGTCATTGCAGAATCCTCCGAGGAGTGGCTGCACAAATGTGTGTGTGTGTGTGTGTGTGTGTGATGCCAGAAAAAAATATGCATAAAAAGCTTTGTGGGAGATGAAGTAATGCACCGAAGTGTTTGTATGTGTTTGTGCATGGATTTCAGCCTCGGTCTAATTACTCTCTTTATCAGCAACATGTCACTTTCATATCTCTGTCATTGCCATAGTAACCAAAGGTCTCCTTCCCAACATCACACTTTAGAGGCTTTTATATTCCCAAACCCTGGTATGCCTGTAGACCAGAAGAGTGTGTGTGTCTGTGTGTGTCTGTGTGTGTAGCAGTATACCTGCATGTAACATGTAAATGACTAACCTGTCACAGAATGAGTGAGGTTGAAAGAGAATGAGAGAGAGATGAAAGGGAGGAGGGAGGAAGAATAAGAGAGAGAGAGAGGGGGAGGCAAAGGCAGAGAGTGCCGGCTGTTGCTAGGTGGAGCAGGGCTGATGCTTTGAAGCAGAGCAATGTCTAACTGCACGACAAAAAAAAAAAAAAAAAATCTCTCCGTCTCTCGTGAATGTGCACCAAGACAAAAGCTGAAAATCCTGACTTATATCTCTGAAGACACGTCTTTAAATTAAGTCTCCGCCTCTGACGGGGAGATTTCCATAAAGGGCAGTTCCTGTGTTTTACTGTCTCTGACATGAACCAGGAACAGTTGTTTTGTGATAATGAATTTTACCTGAATTTTACAAGAAGTGCAGCAGATCAGCTGAGGTGGCATAAAAAGCAAAGACGTGTGAATGCTACGATGAGGCGATTCAGATAAGGTGACAAAGAAGAAGAACAGATTATAAAAGGAGTGAAAAATCCTTCAAATGGATGGGAAAAAGCGAAAGTTGGGATGAGGAAGATCAGAGGCGTCTGAGTAAAATGATGACAGGAGAAACTGAACGCTGAAGACAGGAAGAGAAAGTAACAGAACAAAGCAGCTGGGATGACAGTGAGCGGCGGCAAGGGCTGGAGAAAGAAATCTGTGCCCCACAGCTGCTTTGACTCTGCTGTGATTGTTAGGAATAAAAGTCAAACTATGAACTGAAGTCTAGAATTGAATGCGAGGGAATGGAATTCATGGAATTGTAGTGAAGACATCAGGACATTTCTGTGTGCGGGGTGGGGGGGGGTTGGGGGGGGGCTGGCTGACACACACATGCTGATGATTCAAGCTGTTATTCAGACCTTGGTTTTTATTATTTTCAGTCTCCGCGATCAAATCCGACCCAAATGCCTTAAATCCCATCTTTCTACCAGGAGACTCAACCCACCAAACCAGAGTTTGTCCAACATAATTGTTTATTGATTGAGCTGCAGATTGACCACCTGTTTATTCACATGGCTGTAGTCTGTCTGCTGCTGCGCTCTGGACTGAATGTTTAAATTTTGTTTTATGTTCGGAAATAGAAACGACTTTGGGGAAGAAGAGAGGTGAAAAGACTGAAGACAGACAGAGAGATAGATAGATAGATAGATAGATAGATAGATAGATAGATAGAGAGAGAGAGAGAGAGAGAGAGAGAGAGAGAGAGAGAGAGAGAGAGAGAGAGGTGTGTATGGTAAACAGTCTGGGAGAGAGAGAGAGAGAGAGAGAGAGAGAGGACACAGGCCTCTTCCTGCCTCCGTCTCGGTGAGTCATCACCTCCCTCCTACCACATTTGTCTAAATGGCTGCTTGCAGAGGACACATGCCCCCAATAAAACAGGCTGATGTTCACACTGAGACACTGGGCAGGTACACACACACACACACACACACACACACACACACACACACTAAAGGTCACACCACATGTATAAAACCTGCACAAATGAACAACTGGGAAATGTGCAAACACACACACACCTATACACACACACACTCTCTCTCTCTCTCTCTCTCTCCAGTCTCTCAGTATACAGTATATACGTATTTGAAGTAATGCATGACTTTGCAGAGACACACACACACACACTTTTGCACTCACTTTAGGCCAAAGGTAGTTCACCATGGCAACAAGAGAGCTGGGAAACAGGACGTAGCCGTTCACTGACACAGGTGTGTGTGTGCGGGAGTGTGTGTGTGTGTGTGTAGCTGGTTCTGAGATTAATGCCATTGTTATTTTATCAATTTAATGCTCAAGTCTAATCACTGTTATCAGTGCTGTTTCATTATGGAGTATTATTGGTCACTGAGCTCTGACACCTACTTTAAAATATGTATGTCTTTGACTCATTTATTTGCTAACGTAGCCGTCCTATGTATGTCTTTGACTCATTTATTTGCCGTCTTTTGACTAATGGTAGCCTCAGTTGTCTTTGCCAACGTTCTGTCACATTTTTAGCTAATGTAAATGCTGCTCACGTTGCCAACTTTGTTAACGTTAAGCCATTTCATTTGTTATTTTTTGTCGTCTTTAAAACATTTTTTAAGACCTTGCTTTGAGCTGCAGATGTGTCAGGCTAGTTTTAGCGACTTGGCTAACCGTTTGTGTTATTTGTGGCTGTTGTGGTTTGACAGCATCTGTGCTAATTATTAGCTTTATGTAGTGTTTTTAGGTGTAGCAACATTTTTGTCAACTTTTTTTGAATTTTGAACTTCAGCTTTACCTCATTTTAATCTGTTGTTTCTTTATAGTTTACCGACCTTTACCTTATTTACCTTTTAGGCCAAGTCTTCTTAGCTAGCAAATCCAGCTTGAGGTTTTATATAATGTTAAACTTTCTAAAAACAGTCATGTTTTTGGCTAACTTGAACTGCACATGTGCATTAATTGTTTTTTTACTTAACTTTAAACTTTAGCCATTTCTGAGCATTACAACATATTCATTTTTTTTACCAACTACTTTAACAATCTACTGTATATTTCTACCAAAATCTATTTGTCTACAATCTGGGAGGCAGACATTAATCAAGACACATGGGAGTTGTGTGTCTGATATGGAAGCTCAGATTCTGCATAAATTACACTGTAATTTAACAAAATGCCAAAAAAGCCCTGATTGTGACAACAGTATCAGCATTTTAGGAACGTCGAGGGACCACATGCGTTCGACTCTGCTCATTCCTCCTCCTACATGTTGGTCTATAGGTGCTTACATAATATTAGAGGTGCAAACACCAACACCAAAGCAACATTAAATTCAGATTTTGCACCTCTTTATGCGGCACATATGACTCTCATTTCTGAAGCAGAGGCGTGAGGAGCTTCTGATTTAATGCATTTTCATGTTTTTTTCATGTTAATCCTTGGTATGTTAATAGGCCTTTATAGAGTGAGTGAATGATACTGAAGCTTCTATAGGGGCCCGGAAATTATGAATGTTGTATGATGAACATCTCAAAGTGTTGCTAGCATCCTTAATCATTCTGACACTTGATGGCCCTGTTGGTCATCCATCAATCTCAGTGACAGTGGACGGTTTCCTCAGTGGAACCGAGGATAGGAGCGGGTGGGCTATAAATATCTGCAGTACAAAAAGGTTCCATCATCTGAAAATTGGAAGGAGATATTAGCGCAGTCTGACACCTTAACGTGATGCAAATAGCAGTTTTTCGCCCCGTTGGCTGTATGAGCGCAAACCACAGGTGTCGTGACATCAAGAGGATGAAATACACCCCAGCACCGAGCTGCTACTTTTGAAGTATTTCAGGGCATTACATTTAAGTTTAAAGTAATAGACTGTGGTGTGGACGTGACGCTGACTTTGGGCTCACATTCATACATCCCACAGGCAGATGAAGATGGTGTGAAAAGCTGTAAGTCACATCAGATTTAAACACTCTGAAGTAAAGATGTGTTACTGCAGTATGATGTGTACTACTGTGTGAATAAGAAGGGGCTTGAATTGTCAGTAGCTGTCTACATTTTAATAATGCAGTATTGTAGTAAAGTAATAACTCTATTTTACATGTGTTAAATTAAAGAAAAGTAATAGAAAAAATATTTTTTTAGCATGAAGAACTACTATACAACTTGTTTGACCCATAAATACGTTAACAAAATAGTTTCAAATTGGCTTATGCATAAATGATAACCAAGATAGTTTAAGTTAAACCTAACAATAGCTAAATGCTAGCTGATATTACTATAGGAATAGAGTAAAAATAGCTTAAAATGACCAGAATATACTTAAAGAAGCAGGAGGTCGACCAATGTAACTTTAAATTTAGTTAAATTTAACATGATGTTTGCCTTAAAAAAGCTAAAAATGTGGCATAAAAAAGTTAAAATTACAACTCTTTGACCAAATGCAACTAAAGTTGATCTTAAATCATTAAATAATTCACATGCAAAGAAAGTGTATTAAAAACAAC